AAACAGGAGATGCGTTTTGTACACCACCGCCATTTGGTTAACAGATGTTGGTGTCTGCCCTCAGCTCTCACAAGCAAAGCAAAGTACTTCATTTTTGTGCTATCTTTTATCCAAAAGTGACATGAAATTCAGTGCGGCTGGCTTGACAGTGTGACTGCAGAATTTGTGTAAGAGTTATAACGGGGTGAGCGCCTGTCAGGCCTGTTTAAAAGCCTCCTGTGTGACCCAGTGATTGGCTTTGCGATAAGGTGGCTGCTGGGCTGGGGAAATGTGCAGTCTTCTGTAAAGTAAACTCGGGCACCACCATTTGTCACACTGTGCAGCTGCTGTTGCTTAATACTTCATGCCACGCTATTATATAACCTTCACTTACACTTAGGGAAAAATACATTTTGTAAATTTTCCTAATTCATAGGGATGTTTTAGAATGATTAATGAGAATCAAGAATATGATACCTTAAAAAAAAAGACAGCAAGAACTACTTAATTCTGGATCCAAAAGAATCAGGATCTAGTCCCTACTTTATTACTGATGATCTTTACCACAATGGTGGTAAGGGAACTTCTCTGGACTTTAGCCTCCTATCCTGCAAAGTAAGAGGGAGGGCTGGACTAGAGCTGCACTTCCCAATCTTTCCAAGCATGAGGGACACTTTAACACACTAAAACCTCTCTTAGACTAATTCAATAACAGCAGATATACTTTATGAATCTGGACAATGAGAAAGTATAATGACAAAAAGATAACTTTGGATGCAATGACAGTTGAAAATTAAATTCCAATTTATTAATCTCAGTGGAGTCAACATTCATTTTTAGAGTAATGGTACACAGATGTTAGACATTATTTATTTAGTCTACAAACAACAGTTGGTGTACATATGAATTTGCAGACTCCTTGCAATAACTCTGCAGCAGGTCCTCTATGCAAAGGCTGGGAACCCTGAACTACACACAGACTCTCTAAATCTTTTCTGGCACTGACCATCCAGAGTTCTAGTCCTACTGCTGCCATTTACTACGCCGTGTGATTCCAAACACAAGAAGGATGTCTCTGTTCCACAGTTTCCTACCTGTCTAAGGGTGGGGATCCCTAGGGTTGTTTCGTCATAGCCCTTTGAAGCTCTGATTCTGTTGTGTGACACATTTTAGCAGAAACCTTGAGATCCACAGGAGAGCAGCCCTACTAAAATGCAACATAATCACCCAATTCTTCTCAGTGCCCAGAAATGCTTCTACACAGACCCTGTCCCTGAGTGGGAAGACATCTCTACACATCCCATCTTCCCCCCAAATACAGAGATTCCCAGGACAATCTCCTTGAACCTGAGATAACATCTGAGGATACTTATACTTGGCTTTTTCCAGAAAACCTGTAAACGTGCGTGTGAAGAAAAGCTGAATAGAGGAAAAAGGGAGGTTGCTACACAATCTAAAGCAAGTTTACAATGGTTCTTTCTCTAAAAGTGCAAAATAGGGTCTAAGGTTCTAAACATCACTGAATCCTTTGAGGTACTAAAACAACGAGGCCCCAGGTAGAAGCCTGTATCGACACTGTTGGTCTTTAAAGTCACTGAGAACTTTATTACTGGCATTAGTATATCTAGATTCTATACATTGATAAGATATTTAATTGCCTAGACAATACATAGTAATAAACTCAATTATATTAGAGACATGTTCAAGGACTAATTTATCACAAATGATATGACACAAGGCTGCACAAATAGACTTTTTTTTGAAGGATAAAAATCTTGATTTTTAAAAAAATGTTGCCTTAAGTAAACTTTTGCTACTCCCCATCTGTAATTATCACTCTACATTTTTGACTTTTGCAGTTTTTGGCCAGGCCTGGGTTTGAACCCACCACCTCCGGGGGCAGCGCCCTACTCCTTTGAGCCACAGGTGCCACCCCGTTATCACTCTACATTTTTAAGACAGTTCTAAGGATCTTTCATGTGTCAGTGACAAGTCTTTGGAAGTACTACTAATCCTGCTCCCAACCCAACCAAGAGAAAAAGACCTATCAATGATCATTATAATCAACGGTCAAAAAGAAACTCAGTGCCATATTTTGATGACTTTGTTCTATAATGCAAATAAATTTCTCCCAAATGATATAAATTACCATTAAGAAGAAAACTAATATGTTTTAATACAATTATCACACAAACTATCTTGGGTAAGTTATTTAACAATCTTTACCATCAAAGAATTATTACTTCTATGCAACCCAAATCCTTCTTTTTACTAACTGCTTCTTTTTCTGTAACTGCTTTTGATTATTTATCTTCACATCTTCAGTAATCCTTATGTAATTCTCTTTACACAAGTGAATTAAAAAGTACTAAGCCACAGAACTGAAAGTAAAATCTTGAGGTTAAGAACTTTTCTCACCAGACCAACCTAGTAGTAAAGTAGAACCTCACAGCAATTCTCTATTGCATGCTATGGCTATATAAATAAAAGAGAGTCATAGAATGAAAGTCCTACAGCTTCAGAAAGAAAGAAGGAAAAGCCCTGGCATAAAAACAAGTTGGAGGGATGTACCAAAGGCTGATAAATTATGTTCCTTGGACCAAATCTGGTCTGCTCTACCTGTTTTTGTAAGGTTTTATTGGGCACAATCATATTCATTAATTTATATATCATCAATTGTTGCTTTTGCACTATACTGGCAGAGCTGAACAGGCCCATAAAGCATAAACTATTTACTATTAGGGCCTTTACAGAAAAACTTTGCTGACCACTGATTCAGACACTCACTATCACTTCTACTGCTATCAGCCTGCTTATGCTACCACTATCCTCACACCTGGATTCTTGTAGGAGCCGCCTAACAGGTCTCCTGGTTCCACACTTGCCCCTCTCATCTATTTTCTTGACAGCAGTCAGAGTGCTCTTGTTAAAACAGCAGTCAGATCACATCACTCCTTTGCTTAAGACGCTCTCTAATGGCTCCCGTAACCATTAGACAAAAAGCCAATGTTCTTAAGAGTGGCCAGGAAGGCCTTCCATGGTCACTACTACGGCTCTCTCACCTTCCTCCCTGCCTCCACCTTCCCTCACATTCTGCTCCAAACACACTGGATCCTTGCTGTTCTGTGATCATGCTCAGTATAACCTCGAATCCCAGGCCTTTGGACTTACTGATTCTCCTCCTTGGAAAACAAGCTCTCCAGAAATGCTCATGATTTACTCTCACACTTTCTTCTGCTCAAATGTAACTGTCTCACTGAAGCTTTCTCCTGACCACCCTGTCCAAAATAGCAGCAACCTGTACCCCTACCCACCCATTTCTTAGCCCTCTTCCCTGTTTTATTTTTCTCCCTGTTTCTTGTTTATTTTATTGTCTGTCTCCATGAGCTAGACTGGAATCTCCATGAGGACAGACATTTTTGTCTGTTCTGTTCACTGCTGTATCTTTTTTGTTTAATGAATGAATGAACAGCCTTCCCAAAGGGTTAAAACACAATCCTATAGAAAACTACAATTCTGATTTTATTATGAAGACTAATGGGAAAATAAAAACTCCCTAGAGAAATGTGTTTCACAAATAAATCACTTAAATTGGCTAGAAGGTACCAATTCTAGCCTAAAGCAAAGAACTCTGTCCCTCAATAATTTTTTTTTTTACTTGAATACCTGTATACCTAGAGGATTTATGGTTAATCTTTATCTTTCACTTCATCTTCCTAACTCCCTTAACCTTTATAAATTCTACTTCTCAATCTTGTCTTCATTTTTTTGTTTCCATCTGGATTATAGCCAAAGCTTACAAACCCAAAGGTCATGTACCAACCTGTACTACAGAACGCTTTAAGCTCTCAGGTATTTTCGTTCGCAACACAGACCTGTCATTGATTTCTTGGCAGTATGTAGTCAAATGATGCATTGATAAATCAAACAGAAAGGACAATATCACATCAATCCAACATGTAGACCTACGCTGATTAAAAGACCAGAAACAGCCTGGAAAGATCAGGGATGCTGTGGTCCCAGCATGAAGTCAGTCTGTGCACATTAAAGCCACACTCAGTGTGATCCAGAAGTCATGCTCCCTGCTGTTCACAAAGTCCTGTGAGCCAGATCACTGCACTGTGCTGGGTCACCACAGTTGCTTTCAATGACTGTGAGTGCCTTCCAGTCCTCTGAACCCTAACATATCCCAGGTACCTAATTAAAAAAAATTCATTCTCTTCTCCCTCCCTATGCTGGTTGGATCTTGGGGATCTGGCAACCTACCTGATGCCGAGCTCAAGACTTTTGAGGCCTAAAGGCTTTGACTACACAGTGAATAATATGTATCAAAGGGAAGAAAGGTAAATAGAGTCACTTATTTATATGCCATTTGTCAGTTTTTGCTAATTAGAATCTTATCAAAAGCAAATAGTAACTGTAACAGGGCAATCCCCATGAGGTTAACTCAAGGGAGGTTTTATATTAATAAAATGAATCTTTGTGGTTCCCTTCACAGATACCAATTTAAATGTTGAAGCCTTAACCCTCAATTACCCTCAATGTGATGGTATTTGGAGATGGGGTTTTAGGGAGATAATTAGGGTTAGATGAAGTTATGAAGGCCCCCGTCTAATGGGATTAATGTCCTTACAAGAATAGATGCAAGACAGTTGTCTCATTCTCTCTCTGCCATGAGAGGACACAGCAAGAAGGTAGCAGTCTGTAAGCCAGGAAGGAAGCCCTCCCCAGAAACTAACCAGGCTGGCACTTTGATCTGGCACTTTGGACTTCCCAGCCTCCAGAGCTGTGCAAAATAAATTTCTGCTGTTTAAACCACCAGTCTATGGGACCTTGTTACAGTAGCCCAAAACAATTAATATACAAGATTACAGGTTTTTAAAGTTGCTTTAAATTTTCAAGTCCCAGAAACCATATTTGGAATGCTCTATTGATGACACTTTTAACTTGATTTTTTTCATTATTTTCTTCTACCCAATAGGAAGGAAGACAAGAACACCTGTCTCCATTATGTGTTTGAAGATATGGTAAAGGTGGACAAGGCCCGTTATGAAACAGAAATGAAAACCTATATCCCTCCTAAAGGGGAAACAAAAAAAGAAGTTCAAGGATCCCAATGCACCCAAGAGGCCTCCTTTGGCCTTTTCTTGTTCTGTTCTGAGTATCACCCCAAAATCAAAGGAGACATCCCGGCCTATCCATTGGTGATGTTGCAAAGAAGCCGGGAGAGATGTGGAATAACACTGCTGCAGATGACAAGGAGCCTTATGAAAAGAAGGTTGCAAAGCTGAAGGAAAAATACAAAAAGGATATTACTGCAGACCGAGCTAAAGGAAAGCCTGATGCAGTGAAAAAGGGAGTTGTCAAGGCTGAAAAAAGCAAGAAAAAGAAGGAAGAGGAGGAAGAGGAGGAAGATGAAGATGATGGCGAGGAGGAAGAAGATAGAGAAGATGAAGATGATGAAGCAGATGATGATGATGGATAAGTTGGTTCTAGTGCATTTTTTTTCCTTGTCTATAAAGCATTTAACTCCCCTGTACACAACTCACTCCTTAAAAAAAAAATTGAAATGTTAAAAAAAAAAAGAAAATGTTCTTGTCCTTTTTGACGAGAAAAAGTAACACAGTGAATATGAAACAATTAAAAACAGAAAAACCAGGTAGATCACTGCAGTTGTTCTTCAAAACTCTAGATAAATGTGTTCATGTGATCGTACTATAGATCCAGAAAAAAAGGAGTATGAATTCTACTAAGGATAGTAGCTGGATAAAACACACACACACACACACACCCTTACCTGAGAACAAAACAAAACACAGAAACGCAGTTGTTCTTCAAAACTTTAGATAAATGTGTTCATGTGATCGTACTATAGATCCAGAAAAAAAGGAATATGAATTCTACTAAGGATAGTAGCTGGATAAAACACACACACACACACCCTTACCTGAGAACAAAACAAAACACAGAAGAACAAAACAAAACACAATAGAGGATTACATTTCCTGATTTCCTTCAGCTTCTATTCCCTTTTCATCACATCCCTCAACTAAGCTCTGATAGTGGGATTTGCAAAGCGGTACAAGGGTTTTCTAGGATGAGTTCAAGAACTTAATTGTTAGACTTCATACATGTATATTCCAGGAAGCTGAAAGACGAGGGGTTTGAGGTTGAAGAAAATGTACTTTGCATTGTATATCCTTTTACGGCACGTTCTTTTACTTAAAATATACATCCTTTTAATCCTATTTTAATAAATACACCCTTTTATCCTATTTGCTTACCTTTACTTTAAAAAATGCTTTAAGATGTGAGGAAGAAATAAACTTTTTTTCAAACTTAAGTTCTTTTCCTTTATAGCTTCTACTCATGAGTCTTTGTTTTATCTCTTAGAATGATAAAATACAAAACAATAACAAAAGCCTTCTAATTCCCCCTTTAAACTACATAGCTATTCACTGTAGATGAATTCTGTTATAGTTCATAAACATTTGAAAATAACTTACAAAAATCTGATACTATTAATCAAACATAAAGAAATAGAGGATAGCTTTTAGCTATTTTAGGAAGAAATATTTCTTATGTTTGAATTGTTCTTAATTTTTAGCATTAAGAGCTAAATTAATTATTTTAATGACAATTGGTGAATGGAAGTAAGATTCTTAGTTTTTTATATGTACTAGTTGTGATACTCTGGGTATCAGAGTAAGTCAAAATATTGGCTTTATTCCTTAAAGTATTTAAATAACATTTTTCTGAGCAGAAAGTAGTACATGTTCATTGAAAAAAATTTGAAAAATAGAGACAAGCAAAGAGGAAAATTAAAACAATTCATAATATCACCATCTGAGAAAACCACTATTAACTCTGATGTTAAATTCAAAATTTCTTTTGAATTTCCAATGCATGTATGTATATGTTATTTGTATAATTGATATCAAGCTATACACACTATTTTAAAGGTCTGATTTAATAAATTGTCAGTGTTTTATAAATCTTGTGTTTAAGATTATAAAATATGGCTCAGTGCCTATAGCACAGTGGTTCTGGCCCAGCCATATGTACGGAGGCTGGCGGGTTCGGACCTGGCCCAGGCCAACTAAACAACGCTGACAACCGCAACAAAAAAACAGCCAGGTGTTGTGGTGGGTTTCTGTAGTCCCAGCTACCTGGGAGGCTGAGGCAAGAAAATCGCTTAAGCCCAAGAGTTTGAGGTTGCTGTGAGCTGTGACGCCACAGCATTCTACCAAGGGCGACTAAGTGAAACTTTGTCTCAAAAAAAAAAAAAAAGATTATAAAATATATATTATTTATAAAATTTCAAACTTTTTTTTGAGACAGAGTCTTGCTCTGTTGTTCCAGCTAGAGTACAGTGGCATCATCATAGCTCACTGCAACCTCAAATTCCTGGGCTCAAGCAATACTCTTGCTTCAGTCATGTTGAGAAGTTGGGAATATAGTTACATGCCCCCACGTCTCACTAATGTTTTCTACCTTTAATAGAGACACGTCTCACTCTTGCTCAGGCTGGTCTCAAACTCCTGACCTCAAGCTATCTTCCCACCTCAGCTTCCAGAATGTAGGAAGGCATAAACCACCATGCCCACCTCAAACATATACTTTTAATTTTAACTTTTTGTGTGTCTCTCTGAAAAATGTTAACTGACAAAAGAATGAACATTTTATTGCTCAATGTGAAATAAGCATTAAAGAAATTAAAATAAACTTTCAAATAATGTTTTGTATTTGAATGTTTAAAGCATTTATACTTCTGCAGTTATTAATGCTTACAACTGCATTAAGTCTTTTTGGAATGCTATATATCATAAACATGTTCCCAGGCCATTGAGTTTGGGGTTTTTTTTTAAGCTTTTTTTAAAATGACTAACAGGATTCTATTAGGCTGCTATAGAATAATATACTTATGTAACCATCTTATTAATGGAAATTTAGATTATTTCTTTTAAAAGATCATAAAGAACATAAAAAGAGGCAAATAAATGATTGTCAAGTAAAAACACTCCACCCAGGTTAGAAATACATTAGTATACTGAAATCCTGGAACAATAGGTACATACTTTTAAAAAGATTTTAATTCATATTATCAAATTATCTTTCAGAATGGCTAACAAGGAACAATGCCATCAATACTGGCTATAATTAGAATAACATGAAAATGTCTTTAAAAATAAAAGTGATTATGTTGCTCTTAACCAAAGACATCTACAAGGATAATTAAAGTAATATGTTTCAAGCTCACTTTGTTACTTCAGCTTGAAATAAATCCCCATTATGTGGTTCAGAAGAGTTCTTTTAAAAACTGGCCTACAATCCTTACTGGAGTTTGAAAGAAGTTCTGAATGAGCCCCACAATAAAATACAGCTAGCCAGGTCTCCAGTGTGAGTGGTAAGACAAGAAGCTCCCACGTGGGAGCTAAGCTACATCTTTTATCAGATCACTCAGAAGTCCCCCACAGAAGGATAAATGAGGCTACAAGCAGCTACTCAATGCATGGCTGACTACTACATATTAAGACTAAGCTCCAACCTATAGTGTTGCTGTCTTTCTGAAGGTTGGGTTGAATTAATCGATATAGGGAGCAGAGGTGAAACTATCCTGGCCTTGGAGGAAATTGCTAGATCTGTGCCCAGATGAGACCCAAAGAGGAAAAAACTGTGAAGGTATGAATACCTGCTTAACTTTTGAAAAAAGAAAACTTTTTCAGGTATGACTTGAAATCTTTCAACTTTGAGGCAGGTTCTTCAAATCCATTTAAGATATAAGTTTCAGAAATTAGAAACTTGGACCATAAAGCACTTCAGTTTTGCATGCCTTTCCGCTTTCAAAAACCTCAAAAGGGAAGAGAATTTAGAATAAATGAAAGGAAAAAATTCATAGCCACAAGGAGTGATCATTGTCCACGCAAAGCAGACTGTGCAAATTCTCATGATACCACACCAACACACAGACTTTCAGAAGGACTCAGCCATGACTTGTAAAAATACCAAATGTACTCTAGTTACACTACTAGGGCTTGTGAGGGACAAGTCTTCCAAGAAAATCAGATTCCAGAGAAATTATTTAATTTGTTCAAAGAATACAATTTTTATACTAGCCAAAGAATAGAAAGGATATACTTTATGCATCTACACAGGCAATTCTGGCCCTTTATAATAAAATTGTTCAACTATGTGCTGGACCGTCTTTAAAAGTATCTTTTAAGCCTAGACCCAAGAAGACCTTTTAGGTGACAGTGCTTTCCACTAGGCTCCTTGAGCTCTTCTGCAACAAAAAACCTTAGATGGGGTCCAAGAAAGTCTTTCCCAGTATTAGCAAAAACCCTCACTTATTTGGATACATAGAAGAATTTGGCTCTGATGTTTACTAGCTGTGTGGTCTTGAGAAAGTTATTAACATCTCTAAGCCTATTTTACCATCAGCAACCAGGTACTCACTTATTATTAATGGTACCCACCTCATGGGCTAGAAATGCAGATTAAGTTAGACAATAAATAAAAAATAGCATCTGAACATTATTATTTTCTCAATTTTATGGGTAATATAGATTAATTACTTCAGAATACACAGACTAAATCTCAGCCAACAAAGTACTACTTACCAAAGGGATTTAGCAAATTGCTTTAGTTTAAAATAACCTGTCATTAAATACATAGGTTATTTATAAATACATCTATGAAATCCTTAAGAATGATTAAAAATGTTTTCCTTGGTTATGTTACTTAAATATTCTGTCTGAAATTGTTTCACTATTCACTGGCTATCAAGTCCCTTCTTGAAGACAAAGGCAGACTTCAGTGCCTATATGTACATAACCAGTGACTAGTACAAATAGTCTGAATTACCCATTTGGAATCATTTAAGTAATCAGAATGAAGAAGATCTGCAAAAATGAGATTCTATTTGCTACAAAAATTGGTTAATTCCTGAAAAGCTTATTTTCTCAGTAGTTTCTTTCTTTTCTCCCTATAATACGGGCAACTCATGGCCTTCACTCCCACCAATATATTAATACTGAATATGTATCCAGTCTCAATCTCTTTCCAAGTCCCTAATCCTAAATTTCCAACTATCTCTCAGATATCTCTACTGGATATCTTTAAATTCATCATTCCTACAAAGATTAAGTCAGGGCAAGAAACGGATGGCATACTCAAAAGGGAGACTAAAGAGAGTCTTATGACGGCATTTGTCATGAAGTAAACACGTAAACAGGAAGGGTAAAACCCAAATGGCTAGACAAAGAACACCTGCAATAGCAGTAAGACATTATATCTCACTGCGCTTGAACCCAAGAGAAGAATTACAGCTGCAGGAGAGGGTCTCCAAATGGAGATGTGGCCACAGGAAGAAGAATGTAACCATGGCCACATCAGCACAAAGAAGGGAGGAAACCGGGGGGAAAAATATCCTTCCTTGCACTCCTTCCACACTCTAATCTCCTGCTACTGAACCCAACCAAAGGTGGGAAGGCA